CAGCTCTGTGGTGACAGAGGAGGAGGCCGAGCAGCGCAACACGGTGGTCCTGCAACCAGCTGAAGACCTGAGTGGGATCCTTGAGCGCCCCCTCATGGCTTTTGTGCAAGAGTTTCGCTTCCGACCTCCACCAGTATACAGCGAGGTGAGTCAGCTGCTGCAAAGAACATCCACCCATGTACATTGTTTGCTTATTTTGATTGGTACATATAAAAGCTTACAGAAAATACTTTTTCTTTAGATACATTTTAAAACAGGACTTCATCCCCGCCAAAGGCGCTCTTGAGATTACCTCTGAAGTGTATAGCAGTGTCAACTTGAAATTAAATCCGCATGTGGGCTGAGTGTAGGCAGAATGTATCATAGATCTGAATGTTTTGCTTGGAGAAACACTGAATTATCTGCTTGCTTAAACTTAATCTCATGTGTCTTTACTTCTATTTCTTGCCTACAGATTGACCCTAACCCCCAGCCCTTCAACATGAGACCTCGCTGCATGACGTGTTGAACCATGAGCCTGAGCGTCAAGCATCTTAAGTTAGTGAAATGAATCAAGAGATTCGTCTTCTCCTGGATTACTTTTCTCTGATAAATGGCGACTGGTTGCACCATGTGTCATGGAGAGAGACTAGAGTGCCACGGAGAGGTTACAAGAGGAAACTGACCTCGCAGTAACTGGGTGTCAGTGGAGGAGCTGCAACTTAGCTTCCAGTCCACAAAGTAAAGTGGACAATTTCCTGTTCTCTTGCAAGGGAAGCAACTTTTCTGCATCAGTTCCTGTCCTCCATAGGGGATTTTTTTTGGCTTATGACGAAACGAGCTGCAAGTACGTCCCTATCAACAATTCCCTCTTGTGAAGAGATGTAAGGAGTTTGGGACATATTTTGTAGGGTGGGTGTGTTTGGGGAAAATGCTTTTGATAAGTTGACATGTTTAGAAGCACATTGTCATCTTTGAGTGGCGTAAAGAAAGAAGTGCAATTATTGTCTTAATCTTCCAAACCCCCTTCACCTGCAACATAGTAGATTTAACAGCCTGCCTTGCTATGCATTGTTTGACTCAACACCAGTGTGCCTGTGATGATTTCTACTGTTACATAAGCACATACTATATCTGAAGGTGTGATGGTGGTGCAGACAAGTCTTATAATGAGGTGAATTTGATGCATGCAGGTAAACATATAAAAGGGAAAAATAACATATTCCTTAATAATCTGCAGTTAAAGATTGCATATGAGTTTCAGGGAGTCATTCTCTCACGAGTTGAACGGAGTTATACAACAAGTTAGGAAAAAAATGGTGCATTGTATATGGATGAATTCTGAGAGGAGTGTTAAATGCAGGATATAAGGCAATGAACTGTCAGATAGCGGTAGTTGTTAACTTCAGCCCATTAATGAGACGAAATGAGTTCGTCTATAAAGTTGGACGAGGCTCTTGCATTATCTCTCCCAGCTGCTAAACAAAAAGATGAGGAAAAGACCTCTGAGCCATGTGGTCTGAAACATTTGATGGGAGCCAGATGCCTCGATGTTGTGGATGCTGTATCAACACTGCTCAAGTCGAGCTTTAAGCTGGAGATGCCACTGAATTGTATGGACAAAGAACATTCCAAAAACTGACTTGAGGATTGTTTTCTCCTCAACTTCCGAAAAACTGTTAGGAATAGGAAAAGTCTTCAGGGTCAGCTGTGTGACTTTGGCACGCACTGAAAAGCTGAATGTATTTTTATACAACTGCAGTTGCTGATTCACAGTCTTGCCATAGTTTTATAACTGTTTTTTTTTCCTAATAAAAATACTAAATGGATGTTTGTCTTCGGTGTTTCTTTCAAACCTTGACTGGTATGTAAGCTGTGTACTTTTAGTAGAGGGCCTCAGTTCAGTGTGTTACATAGCAGTGAATTGGTACATCATGTTCAACGGTGTGAGTCAAAACTATATTGCTGCCAAAGGCAGGGTTCACTGGAGAAACCGATTACACTCAGAGGATCAAAACAATAATTAAACTGAAGCTGTGCCTGTGATGGCTCTAATATTAGAGAGTTATGCAATCCAGTTTTTCTGGGTGCCTCTGCTGCTCCTTATAAAAGCAGAGCAACTGAGTGTTATTGTTTCAACACCTCACTAAGTTATGTCACATTGCTTTCATCTGAAACATGGATTTCATTTAGTGTCCTCCTGTACAGTGTGTACTGTTTACTGCTCAGTGACTTATACACAAAGTGTTGTGCCAAGCTAAAAACATACATACACAAAACCTATTTGCTGAACAGCCTAGAAGTGTCTTTATGTTGGTGTTTGATTTTGTCAGAATGCCAGATGAAGTCACTTCCAAATGAAACTAAATTGGTATTTGGGGCTGTTTTTCTTAACTAAATAGTCAAGTAATTGGTTAGTCAATGAACAACAATTTTGATAATCAAATAAAGATAATAAATAAATAAAGAGAACACCAGGGTTAAGGAATTCATGAATCCAAGATACCAGTGACTCTGTTTCCAGTTAATTCAGTATGAGGATTTTCTGTTTATATTTTTAAACTGAATACCTTTGGATTTTATTGTAAATCAGATTAAACAAGCTGTTTTATTAGCCAAAAATTTATTAAGAGGCACCTCAACAGAAGATCCAATATTAATTCAGACAGAACAGGATATGTGGTAGCAAAAGTATTATGAACTGTATTTAGTTGTATACACAGAAAACGCTTATTGTTGTGTGAAAATGTTTTTCTTCTTTTCACTAGGTCCTGTTCCCCTACATTAACAGTAGGGTCTTTGTTAAATCATTATATTCTGCCTTTTTCATCATTCTGCCTGTGATAATCAGCTGCTCAATCAGGGATAGTGGAGACAGGTTTGTATCATTAGGCTCCAATTAATAGTGAGAAGCGGGGTCAGGGCGCACTATTTTCCACATAAACCCGAAAAAGAAGGCTGTTAGAAGGCCATACATCTCAAAGTAGAACGGACAACGCAGTTTCCGGTTTTCGCTGGCTGATGAGTTTTTCAGCTTCTCTCTTGATTTTGCTGATGTCATGAGTTGTCGAGGGTTATTCTTCAGTGAAAGAAATTAAACTACACAGGCGATATAAATGTTTCTACGAGAAGTTTGTGCACAGCTACTGAGGTAAATAAAACATACAATGCTTATGCTAGCAGGTTTTAATGCTAGTGTTAACTTAGCTGCTGTACATGATAACATTTTTGTCTTGTGTTGAAATGTTTGAAGTACCAAAATGTATTTGAGGGACAGGATGTAGACTGAGCTAGCTACTACAGGTAGGTAAAGTTGTTCTGGCTTGGGCTAACTCAGTTTTTGACATGACAGCTGCCTACATCAGTGACTAGCATTACCACTTTATACTTCAAATCGGGTCCTTAGTTGCACCCATTTTCTTTTAAGTTGTGGAGCCTTTGGGAACAAGTGAAAGGACACGTATGACTGTTTTTGGTTGGAACATGAGCTCCTAGGTACAATACAAAACTCTAGTTTTTAGATCTGCACTGTACTTTTGTCTCACTCTTGGCCCAGAAGTTGCTCTGCCGACCCCAATCTACTTCCGGTTGACAAACGTGGAAGTATGGGGAAAAGGCCTTACTGTTGTATTTCTGTACGTTTTAAGGGATATTGACAGGTTTGTAGTAACTGCAGTACTTTATGTTGCTGCTTAATAATCATTACTCATTTGGTATGATGCTGTCATTTCGGTTTAGCTCAAGCTACACTCAATCGGTGGAAAGTAAAATGTCATTCAGGTCAGGAGAGAGAGAGAGAGAGAGAGAGAGAGACTTTGAGGCTGCAGTGTTTTTGTTTTTTTTTCTGTTCCCAGGATTTTCGCTGCCTTTTGTTAAAATTAGTTTTTGTTAATAAATGTCACTTTCTTGTACCTATTTCTGCCAACCAGTATGCTGCTTTAACATCCTTTTTAAGAGAACTCTGTACAAAGTGGCCTGCCAATGTGAAACTAACCTTGTGTGTGTAAACACAATTTGTGTCTGGACACCTGGTACAAGTATTTCAACTTTTTACTGACCTTTTTTTAGAGTTTTGATGAGTGTAAGTAGTGTAGTAGCAGCGTTCAGAGAAGTGACAAGTCAATGGAATAAAAGAAAACTGCAGTCTTGCATACTTGTGAAATATAGTTGGGTTACTGCTTGACAAACTGCCAAGACTGTCAAGCAGACTGTAAATGCCAATGCCATACCTGATTGCAGACCTTCAATGTAGCAGAATTAAAGTTGGCTTCTTTTTTTTTTTTGCAGGAAAATTGCTAGCAAAAGAAATCCTTTTAAGAGGTTTAAAATGCCTTATCCGATGATACACACCCCTAAACATAAATGTTCTTGTAAATGAAAGTTATTTTTACAATGTTGCATCCATAAATAAGCCTTTAATGGTCTGACACCTTGAGGACTTCCTGGGTGACCTTTCTAGTGACCCTGTATGCTTTTGTTATCAAGGCTCAGGCATGATGGAAAAAGGCGAGCAAGACATTTCATGGCTTTGGCGTCCATCCCGCAACATCCACTCTGCTCATGTAACCTTTGTTTATATGGGAGTAACTCGTGTTCCAGTGAGTCATTAAAGCTTTTAACATGGTTGGTTTCTTCTGTCAAACCTGCCTGTCTGGTTAGAGGTGGCAAATGACAGCATAAATATTGTTTGTCTATTGTCATTTAAATTGTGTGGTTTACTTTTTTTTAGTACATTTTTATAACTGCATCTGAGCAGAACTGTACAGAGACTATGTTGAAAACTAGCTTATAGTACATTTAAGATTCTACTTGTAATTTGTTGTAGAGTTGGCATTTAATGTGAACCGCAAAAGCACGCACTTATTATAAATGGGTCAGTGAAAATGCCATTAAAACAAAATGCTCGATCTGCATACTGTACCCGTTTTTACAACTGTTTAACTACTCAGTTTCACCTTGTCTTATGTTAATATTGGCACATTTATTCTAGTTTATATTTTCTTTTTTTACTGTGCTTTGTAGCTGCAATGACGCTTTCAAATGAGGACCCTTAGATTTCCTTACATTTCAGTTATAATCTCAAAATTAAGTTAAATGTCAATTTCAGTGAGAGACTTTTCTTCTAAAAGACCTTTAACATTCATTCGGTGGCGCGGTGGTTAGTGCTGTTGCCTCACAGCGAGAAGGTTGTGGGTTCGCGACCTTTCCGTGCGGCGTTTGCATGTTTTCCCCATGCTTGCATGGGTTTTCTCTGGCTTCTCCCACTGTCCAAAGACATGCAGTTTAGGTTGATTGGTGACTCTAAATTGCCCGTAGGAGTGGTTGTTCGTCTGCGTGTTGGCCCTGTGATGGGCTGGCGACCCGTCCAGGGTGTACCCTGCCTTTGCCCGATTGCTGGCTGGACTTGGCTCCCGCAACCCCGTTTGGAACTGAGCGGTATAGAAGATGACCTTTAACATTGTTTAAGTTATTTCTCACTGTTAGGGTTGGAAGTCCTCACTGAGGGGAATCTCTCATTATAACCAGTATACCTGCAGTCATTTTAAAGTGGACACACACAACGGGGTCTATTTTCTGCCTTCTTGACCTGATGATAAATTATTAATTTCATCTATGCTAAAACTTGAGAATTAGCACCTTGAAATCATTATATAAACCATTTCTAGTTGTGAAAATGCTATGTAAATAACATGAACAAGAAGATCAGAAAGCAATGTGTGATTTATTTTTTTGAGTTTGAGCTTTATAGCCTTAACCCTTTATCCAAAGGACAAGTAAAATACTGATATGGCTTCAAATTTAAACATGTTTTGTCACTCTGTTTGCTCCAGGGACAAGTTCTGGGAGAGCTTGAAGGATAATTCGGTGAGTGACTCCCACTGTTCCAAGACAGGAGGTGCAATGAATACAAGGTGGTTGTATATCACAAATGAACAACCAAGCACCTGAACATGCTTCTTCATTAACCAGTCTACCATGGATGCATTTGGGAACAGCAGGGTTGAGGAAATATGTTTACGTTGGTATAAGTTGGACACTGAGTCGAGAGCACAAATGATTATGTGAAAGGTTTTAGATAAGGTCAGGGTTCTATACAGATCAGTTAGGTTATTCCACACCAAACTCCAGAAACACATTTGTGCTGTATATGGTCCTAACTTGGTATAAGAGGGCATTGTCATGTTGAAACAGGAAAGGACCTTCCCCAGACTGTTGCCACAAAACTGTAGCCACATTAATGTCTCATTGTATACTGTAGAGATTTCCCTTCAGCGAGCCTAGCCCAAACCATGTCAAACTGAGACGTGCATGTTCTTTGTTCAGGGGAAAGCACTCTGCTGGTTGTACATTAGCAGGGATTGCAGGGATTGCAAACATTTTTCTACAAGAAGCCTGTTTGCAGGAATCCAGTCCTGGTAACAAACAGCTGCCCTTGTGGAAAATATTTAGGCTGTGTTTTGGATAGGCCTGTGCTCAGAAGACGTTACGTGTATGCCGCCTCAATTGCTGCCTGTCTCTTTTGAAAGAGGGGTTCTTCCTCTGCTGCTTAACATTTTGCCATATGTAGTAAAAGTTTTTAATCCAAGCACAAATTTGGGATTCCCTAAATAAACCCAACTTCACTTTATTAGCAGTTTTTGTGTGATCAGCATGTTTGTGTCCATGCAAGGCATATTCAGACAACTAGTTGCTAAATGCTTTGGCTGATCACACCTCCAAACAGGCACAAAAACATTTTTGACTCCACCTAACAAGTACCAGCCATTCACACTGCACCAGACGGATTCACCAATCTCACCTCATCTGCATGGAGAAATGGGCAGTCAGGATCAGAACCTTGTTATTTTAATTGTAAAGAAAATTAAAGCTGAGGCAGATTAGGGTTTAGTAACAGTGTTTCAGTCACTGTGAAACTGAAATTAAAGTGACAGCTGAGGTTTTACTTGTGTGAAATGAACAAAAACTTGTCAGCTGCTTGTGCGTCACTATAGTGACTCATATAAACACAAGCAGTTTACATGTTTTTCAAATGAATGAAGAAGTTTACTGATATTACATCTTGTGGGGTTAGTGCCAGTCATCAAAATATGTTCCTGTTTCTAAGGGATCACGTTTCCTGCCATACTCTGCCAAGAAGAGTTCCCTTTAACATCTTGCTGGGTGTCCAAAAAAAGGCAAAACCTAACAGGAGTCTTCCGTGTAAACAGTTGGTAGCCTCCTGAAAAAGTGAAATCCTTACACATTTAAAGCACACACCTCTTTGTCTGTGCATTGTTGGTCATCACTATTCGGGGTGTAGTCGGTGTTTTTGCTGACTTTCCATAGTCTGGCTAATGTTTGTGTGGTGCATCATGTTCTTTCCTTGATGTCATCCACTGGGGTAAGACGAGCCGAGTCATGACTCTGTCTTCGTCTTTACCAGTACGTGCAAATAAACACAATGGTGACTGAGAATACAAAAACAGATTTCATATCACATTGCATGTTGAGCTTTGAACTAGTCAGTTGGGGCTACTTTGTCTTGTGATGGCAAACATGTGGGATACCTAATTTGACTATATGAAGACAGAAGTTCATTGGAACAGAAATTGTTTGTACTGTATAACAATACAGTTTAACAGGGTGAGCAGGGACATTGAAAAGTCCCTGTATGCAGTGAAATGTGGGTTTGTGTACACTAGAGGCTATGTTTATAAGGTACAGTATGTGTAGGCCACAAGAAAAAAGAGCAGGCATGCAATAGTTCCTGTTTACAAAAGTATGAAATGTTTATTGTACAGTACATTCGATTTCCTACCATTTTGCCAACAGCACTGTTGTTCATAAAATATTGCAGCATTTTGTCTTGCATCCGGTGTGTTAAAGGGCCCTTGTGATGCTTTAATGAAAAACCTGTGGGCATTACTCTACTTCACCAGGGTTTGGTGATGAAAAGGGGATGTTTTTACTGCTTTCTCACATACCATTTTATTGTTGCCCATTTCATATGCAGATAAAACTGGACACTGTACCCAGTGAGGACATTTGTCAAGGTTGCTGAGACAAAGTCATTAGTCCTGTTTATTTATTTTTTTCCACCTTACGTTTAAAGTTGGTGTCAGCCTACATTCCACACAGATCATAGCAAGACAGGTGTGAACTGGGGCAGAC